CACTGCAGAACGAAGGCCTCTTCCGCATGTTTCCAACCAACATGGTCTTGAGCTTTCCTTTGGGCTCGCAATACTTGCTGATGTCGTCGCTCCATTTTGTTTTAGGTTTCTTTTGTGGATACTTTTTGTCAAGTCGAATCCATTCTATGACTGCCTAAGTCCACCTGCCATCAGTTCTTCTTGCTATGTGACCAGCCCATTTCCATTTCAATTCTTTTACTCTTTTGATGGCATCGTATATTTTCATTTGTTCTTTAATCCACATGAAGGTCTTTCAATCTTGTCTTGTAATGCCGAGTATGTATCTTTCCATGGCTCTTTGAACCACTCGTAGCTTTTGTATCAATTGTAAGTGTCCATGTTTCACTGGCATATGTTAGAACAGGTAGCACACACTGATCGTAAACTTTTTTCTTCAGGCATAGAGGGAGATTGTTCTTGAAAATTACGTTTAACTTGCCAAATGCCTGCCAACCACATTTAACACACCATTCAATTTCTTTTTTTGTATCACCTTCCATTGAAATCCGTTGGCCAAAGTATATGTAATGGTCTTCTATGTCTAGTTCTTCTCCAGTTATATTTTTTTCTTTTTTTGGTGAATTTATTAAACATAACCTGGTTCTTTTTCAGGTTTATTTTAAGCCAAATGGTTCTCCTGCTTTGTGTAGCTCTTGTATGTGTCTTTGTAGTTCTTCTGCGTCTTGTGAAGAAAACAACATCATCTGCAAATCTTAAGTGGTTTAAATAGGCACCATTGGTTTTAATTCCATTTTTGCCCAATCTAGTTTGCAAAATACTTATTCAAGGCAGGCTGAGAAAAAGATAGGTGATTTTGTATCACCTTGTCATACATCTCATTGTATAATATAAATTTAATAAATAAATAAACCACACTGAACTTTACTAGTTAGCTTTAATATGGGATTGTTATTTTTAGCATCCCTCCCTGTTTTTCTTACAGAGGGCTTCTGGGAAGATACATAATGGAAGAATATTCTAACACATGCTTAGAGTCTGAAATGATAACAACCAGCATTTCCCCCTTTCATGCACTTTGCTTTCTTGATTCTTCAAATATTATGGCAATCTGAGAAGCTGCCTTACTCCTAGTCAGATGCCTGAATTGTCTAGCTCAGTACTGGACACACTGATTAGCAGCAACTTTCCAGATTTCACAGTGGAATTCCTTCAGTCTAATCTGAACTCATTCCCACAATTTTTAACCAGTGGGACAAAAGATTCAAATCTCATTTATGTTCTTCATCTTCTCAGAAAGTCTTATTATGTCTTATCTTTTCCTTTAATTGGCTATGAATAAAGCATAAAGTACTTGCAGATTTAAATGGTAACAGTCTTCATTCCAAAGTTTTATAAGCAGCCATAAAAGAATACTGAAAAAATAAATATCCAAATGGCACACATATACACACACAAAATACATTATGTGTGCATAATACATATGCATTTGTGAATTACCTTGCCTTTTTAAAAGGGCCCTAAGATAGTCTTCAAACAGAAATATTTTCATTAAATGTCTACAATCTGATTTACAGTAATTTTGCAAGATTCTCAGCTTGTTTTGTCTTGCATAAACACGATTGTAGATGCAGTAAAGTGCATTTAGAGTGCAGCCAAATAAAAAGCTGCTTCCCCACCAACATATTATTGCTATGTCAATGAAAAATGTAGTGAATTGATTGCAAACTAACTGCACATTATACACTTTTTTTAATGGATACAGAAAATAAACAAAGTGCATTATATTGCTCTAAGTGTTTCTTGGGATTAATTATACTACTGGTCATTGATGAACTATTATTTACATTATCTCAAAGTATAAGCAACCTAAACAACAGGTTATACATGTACTACATTATACGCATTATGTGAATTCCAAAAAAACACAGCAATTTCAGCACAAATGTATTTACGAGCAATATCCTGCAGCTGGAATATTATTGAAGAAACAGGACATCAGTAAGAGGAATTATTTGCACTAACAACATCCTTACAAAATGTGTACATGTCTGTATTATGCATCAATAATAGTGATACAATCTTTATTATAAAAATATGTTACGTCTTTCTGATATGCAACAATGAGATTTCTCATGTTGCCATTCATTTCCTCATCACATAAGAACATCGTTAGGTTAACCATTTTTATTTAATCATAAAAATTGTATAAATTGCTATCAAATCTTACATTTTTAAGTAAAGAAGTCATCAAGTACTCTGGCTCACACTACTAAATGAACAATCAAATCATTGTAAATACAGTCCAAAATGCAATGATTTACTGTTGCTACCCAAGAATGTAGTTCCTTTTCATGCAATAATATTGATCTAAATGTGCATTTTTCTTATTTGCAATAACAAATAATTTTTAGAAAGAAGAAAACAGTATTATTATATCTAAAACATCATGGTCAAGTTTATTGGAGGGGTGTAGGTGACAGAAATTGTGTAAATTTCAATAACCCAATTGTTCACTAAAAAAGGAAAGGATGGAGAGAGAAAAACGATGCACAATGTGGCATAAGGCCTCCAATCGCAAGAAGCTTGCAGTCTTCTGTTCCATACAGGTCATCCTGTGGTGAAGATATGATGTTATCAATATTCATGCTTCAAAGTGTCCACTTTCTCCTATGTTTGTAAAATATAACTATTCTCTCAATTAATCTTAAAATGACTGACCAAAACAGCCTCTTTTTGCAATGAAATGCTTGGCAGTAAAAAAAAAACACCCAAAGCTAATCAGTAAAACACAGAATCTTAATACTTGCCATGCAAATCCCATCTCAAACTAATTATGCCATTCTCAGGATATAACACACCGCTTACTGCTGAGCACAATGAATCAGTGACAATATCTGCAACCATATAAATCTTATCTCCAAACATAAATAATAGATATTTTTTTGTACGCTTCTCTTAAAGTTACTCTCTAGACAAATTCACAGTATTTATTTAACTTTTTAACATTAGTGTAAATAGGTAACACTGAAATTAATCATGATATTTAAGCTTAGGAAAAAATATTGAAAATTAAATGTACCAAATGCATCTAGTCTCCCAACATTTTTGCCAGATTTCTTTAAATACTATGCCAAAGAAATAGCTAATTTCCATAGTAAAGGAAATTAAGGGTTTTTTGGTCCTATTATATTAATCATTTCATTTTTTTATGGAATATTCAAGACTGAATTGGCCTAAATACATTAAAAAGAAAGCAATACAATAGTTTAGTTCCAAAACAAGCATTGACCCTAGTAACATAATCTCAGTCACAGTCTACCAGTAAAGTTATAAAGACATTTATAGCATGGTAGTAAATTATTGATTATATCTATTCATTAAAATCAAGAGTAATATGGATAGAATGTATGTATCCATTATGAGGGGCTATATTTCTAGAATCCAATACCTCTAACTCATAGTAATTGTAATGTACAACTCCATTTGTAATGTATAGCGTAGCCCATTTACATTTAAGATTTAAACTTTTCAGTAAGCCATTTCTCAATTTGCAGTATTCAGTAGCAGAGCTTATATAGCACAATCACAATATCTTTTTTCCCTAGAAAATTCACTGCCAGTCTTATCTGTCCTGCAAATTTTGACAGAATGCATAATGTTCAGACAAAAAGCACATCACCTAAAGATGGATGGATAGATGGACAGACAGATAGATTTGAACATACTGTATGTATTGTCAATGAAATATTTCCACAATTCCTAAACCTGAGACAAAACTACAATTTTTCAGCAAAACAACTCCATCATTATCCCAATTACGCTAAACATAGAAATATCTACGTATCAGAATAACTGAGCGGCTTCCATGCAAAAAGAGAATAGACTGTTATAGGGCAATCAATAGTGACTTAGGACATATGTAATAGGAATTTTAAACGAATGTGTATTGTGCTTCTTTAAACTCAGAACATAAATAATCATTCATTTAACCATATGATGTACTTACTTCCTCCTAGAAGCACACACAAAAGGTTAAGCCATAAAGGCTATAATCAACAGAAAAGCTGGCACAGACTGAAGTGGCACCCAGCAGTTGCAAAAAGTACCTGAGATGCATAAACAACACCCACACACACAGATCAAGGCTAACTCACAGCAATGCATTACTGTAATTATAGGGCAAGAGGGAATGAGCTAAGGGTGCCCATATGCTAAATGCCATCAGTTGCAATTACTGTACTGGAGGCATTCGCTTGTGAAGGCTGGCCCTTTGAATGACAACGAGAGGGAAGAGATTTCCACCTGGAGTGGTTAATGGTATTTCTAGAAATGGTTTCTGACTGCTGCCAGATGTCGCTTGGAAATGCAGCAATTTCTATATTTATTGTCACCAGGAGAAATCCAGGTGAAGACCCGGGTCAGGCTGGGGAGCAGAGTCTAAGCCGCAAAAAAAGGGGGACAATGACTCCAGAAGCAGAAGGCGGAACAGGCGGGGTGGGGGTGGGGATCGGGCAGAGCAAAACTAAGGTGTTTCCAAGGAAAGAAGGGAAAACGGGAAGACATAAACGCGCACTAGGGGGGGGAGGAGGGGGGGAGAGCCCTGGGGAACTTGCCCCGAAAGAAGACGGAGAAAGAGGTGAATAGTTTAGAGGGAGGCGGGAGAATAGCGGAACTGCAGAAGAGGAAAATTGCAAATGAAAAGAGACGGAGGGGTGCAGTTGCCCAACTCAGCTTCCCAGAAAGGGAGTTTTGAAGGACAGCGTGAAGAATAGCACTGCAAACCAAAACACGACATGCAATAAGGCTCCGTCATTTTACCCTTCTTAGTACCATTCCTGCATCTTTAGTATTTAGTATTTAGTATCTAGCAAGAATGGTAGAATAACGCTACCAAAACCCATTCCCAACGCGGCGCGTGACAGAATTGGAGTAGCCCCGCTATTCTTTCAGAACTCCGGCACCCGAAGTGGAAGAACGGAACAAACGCAGCGCTCTCGACGCGGAACCCCCAGCCTTACCACAGAGAGTCCAGGTCCCATTCCTGCAGAAGCGCCAAATCGAAGCTGTCCATGGTGAAACCGAGGGAGGCTGGAAGATGTCAGCGGCGCTCAGCTGCAGCCGCGCGGCGGCCACGGTGCCTCTTCGCAGCGCCGCGGGTGGGCGCACAGCGGGGAGCCGGAGCTCGCGCGGCCCCTCCCTCGCCGCCCGCCTCTTCCCCGGCTAGAGAAAGACGCAGCGGCCGGAGGTGTCTCTCACCCCCCACCCCGCGCCTTCCCTCTCTCGCCCCGTGGCCGGCGCTCTTCTTCGGCGCGCTTCTTCGCCCTCGGCTGCCCGCCGCCTCTCTCGTTTCCCTTTCCCTCGAGCCCCCCTTTCCGCCCGCTCTCTCTCTCTCTCCTCTCTCTCTCTCTCTCTCTCTCGGCCCAGCGCGGGGATGCGTGTATGCAGCGTGTGACTCGCTCAGGCTGGCGCGCTCGCTGAGGCTGCTGCAGGAGAAGCTCCCGGCGGTTCCTCGGGGGTGGCTTGAAAATAAACAAACCGAGCTGAGACGCCGCGAGTATCAGCCTCTGCCCCCTTTTGTTTCGATGCCTCGACTTCGGCCCTCGTGCTGGTTTTTGTTTTTTGTTTTTGGTTTGTTTTTGTTTTTTGTTTAAATGCCACTGAAAATACGCATGTCTCAGCCGCCGACGGTGGCAAAGCCGTTTTCGTTGTGGAGAAAGGGTTGTGTTGTGTTGAGTTGAAGAGGAAGGAAAGGGAAAGGAGCGGGATTGATTAAGGTGACCTTTGCTTTCTCAGGCATCCTTCTCTATCCTGGCCCTGCTCAAATATTTCCTCAGAAGCCTCTTCTGGGACAAATAGAACATTTGACCTTTAATTTGGGAGACGGCAGGGCAAGTTAAGGAATCTTACCTTATCCACTTTTCCTAAGGGCCCCCATCAAGTTGCAAAGAAGCAAATAATAACCGAAGGCATGTTTTGGACAGAGAATGTGGACATGACTGAAGGAGGGAATCATAAACTAGGCAAATTACCGTAATAATCCAGATAGTCCTCAGATGTGTGAATTGGTACTTTGGAGCAGTATTCAAGGAAGGAAGAACTCCAGGTTATTTGTTCAAGATCACACCCTACAGGCACCAATCAGACTGCAGCATCTGGAACATTGTGTCTGGTTTTGGTCACGGCAACACAAGAGTGGTGCTGAGGAATTGGAAAGAGTCCAGAGAAAAGCAACAAAAATGGAAGCTAAATCCTGTGAACAACTGAGTATGTTTAGACTAAAAAAAGAGAAAGGGAAAAATAATAGTCTTCTAATATCTTACAGTCTGTCACATGGAACAGGTTTTGGGCAGGGGTGAAATTCACTTACCTTCCCTACCGGTTCTCAAATATGTGCGTGCCGCACGCATGCTTCATTTGCATCTGGCAGTGTCTGCACATGCACAAAGCCGCATGCGCAAAGCTGCCTGCACATGCACAGAGGCTTAAAAGTGTCACAAAAAAGCAATATGACATCCGCATGGGTGGGCGGAGCCTCCCGCAGTCCCGCTACCAGTTCGCCTGAACCGGATAGAACCAGCTGAATTCCACCCCTGGTTTGGGGGTTTTTTTGCATCTGAGGGTAGGACATGAATCAAGGGGTGGAAGCTTTACAAACAGAATCAAACTCAAAATAAGGACGAATTTCCTGACAATGAGGGTTATTAAACGGGGACAGCCTGACTCCTGAAGTCATAAGTGCTCCATCATTGGACATTTTCAAACAAACACTGGACAGCTATTTCTTTGGGACAATCTGAGAATTCCTGGCCTGGCCTGCGCAAAGGATTGAATTAGAACAGGGGTGTCAAACTCAAGGCCCGTGAGCCAGATCTGGCCCTCAGGGTGCTTAGATCTGGCCCATGGGGCCACCCTGGAAACAGCAAAGGACTGTTCCGTGGTGCCTCTGCCAGCGAAAACAGAGCTTTCTGTTTTCTGGTAGTGCTAGCAAAACAAACTATTAGCAAAAGTGGCATTTGATCACACAAGTGACATCGAGCTGGCCATGCCCCTCGGCCCCCCACAAAGTCAAACATAACCCTGATGCAGCCCTCGATGAAATTGAGTTTGGCACCCCTGAATTAGAAGATCTCTGAGGGTCCTATTGTTCCTGTGACTCAAGCATCATGTGCACATAGATTTTGAGACAGCAATTTGGAAATGTCTTCAAGGACAGTGATGGTTAACCTTTTCAGCATTGAGTGCCGAAACAGGAGTATGTGTGTGTGCGCACACTAGCACATGCACACACACACCAAAGCACCGAAACCCAGAAGAGACCATCTGGCCAGTGTGCATACGCGCGCGGCCAGCTGCTCTTCCGGGTTCCATCGTACACATGTACACCAGCAAGCTGGTCTTCGCGCAAGCGTGTGATGGAACTCAGAAGAGAACAGCTGGCCGACTGCACATGAGCACCATCGACAGCTGACCTTCCAGATTCCGTCACGTACATGCACAAAGACCAGCTGGCCGGCGCACAACAGAACCCAGAAGAGAGTAGCTGGCCACGTGCACATGCGCGCCAGACCAGCTGGCTGACGCACATGCACGTAATGGAACTTGGAAGTGCAGCTGGCGACAGCGTGCATGCCCACAGAGAGGGCTCTGTGTGCCATCTCTGGCACGCATGCCATAAGTTCGCCATCACAGTTCTAGGAGATATGTATATATATATATAGAGAGAGAGAAACAGAAACAGAGATAGAACACACACACATACACACATATACACACAAACAAACATACACACGTACATATTCTATCTCTCTAGCTCTGTCTCTAACTCTAGCTCTAGCTCTCTCTTAAGTCTAGACCTACAGTTCTGGGATTCCCTATCCTTGTTACAGTAGTTACCTCCAGCCTTCCTTGTCTTTTCAGGATTGCTCAAGGAAGGCTAACAGCTTTTTAAAAGAGTCCAATCCCAGCATATCCCTCAATTGCATAAGTTAAGATGACACTGCTCACTTAAATAAATACTTTTGAAGCTGAGGTTAGGCTATTTTTATCAGCAGGAAAGACCCTATCAATTATCTGTTCTGCTAGATGGTTAACCATCTAATGCACCTAGTTGGCAATGAGAAGGTGAGCAAGGTCCAGTGACTTTATATTTGTGTTTGAGCATATACATGTGTGCCTGCCTTTGACTACCTGATGTCCAATTAGATGCTGGATCTTGAAAAAAAATTCATCTGTCTTGGTGCTAAAGTTTGACTTCATGTATCAGTGAGTAGTCTCAGGTTAGGAAAATACCATAATTATTCTAAAAATGATAGTTTCCTTAAACTATCCAAAATCCTTTTTCTTCAAGAAAAAGTACAACATGAATATTAAAAACCTTACAAGATAGAGTTACAAGATTATCTAGCTATCTAATTCCAAAATGGGACACCTCTACATTGCCTAAGCCCATTACCAATATAGACTGTAGTAAACAATTTATTATAAATGCAATCCCAGGAGAAGAAAAAATATGAACCTTTCTTCTTATTTAAATTGCTTATATGTTGATTTTACAGGAATAAATTTATTTAAAAATCTGTAGTTCAGTAATATAAGCTACTACAGGCACTGTAGTATAAGAATAAAGCAGTGCTTTAATTGTGAAAGAATGTCTGACCCATTATCTTCAATGTATTGTAATAAAAGAAAAAGAAACTTATATTGATATGCAGTGTTTCCATTTATTATAGTGTGAACCGGTATGTTACTATTTAGTGCTGTTAACAAGCATAAATGCAAAATAATTTATCAAGCACATCTCCTGATGCATATTTTTAAATAGATAGTACCCATAACTGTCGAGCCATATCACAATGGAATCCATCAGTCATAAATAAAATGAATGCACATATGAATTCTGTATTAGCTTTAACTTGTCATATTCTTGAGGGTGCTTTAGACTGCACATCCTTAATTTATTAGTCTCTAGTGTATTCTGCCTTATAATAATTCTGATCCTCTTCTTTCTCTCCTACTTTCCAGAAATATAAAGAATCTTCCAGAGGCCATGAACAGTCAGCCCACATCAAGATTTGATTGAAAGGAGAAGGATAACTAAGTGACATTTTCCTAGAAAGATGAGGCTTGGCAAACAGCCTGCACTGTGGTATGCTATGAACCACTGATGCATAGTGCAAACCATTGAATGTAGAAAGGAAAACCAAAATGGATAGATGACAATAGGCTTAGATGCACCCTAATAAATAGAAAGCATATTGGTGCTTCTTAGGATTTCTGCTACCACTTTCCCCCTGCAATTAAATATAACTATATTTATATTTAAATATAAATATAGTTTATATTAACTATATAAACTATAGTTAATATACTATATAAATATAGTAACTATATTTTTATAAAAGCCCAGATAGGGAAATGAAAGCATGACTATATGAAATATACGAATTAAGGCTTTGCAGGGTGAGAAGTTAACAAAATGAATCTTTTTTTTTTTTTGTCATGCACTTTCCATCCTTTCAGCCATCATTGAATATTTTAACTGATTTTCTCCCATCAAAATATTGTTTCTATCTATTTTTTTATAGATAAACTGGTAATAAAGTAATAAATACCTTTTGCTATATGGCAGACTCAGAAGCATATTAACCAGCAAAAGAAAAGTTACACGCTTTAGAGACAAATCCAGGATGAACGGTTTAGAAGTAATAGATTTTATAGCATAGCCTTGTCTTACAGAAACATAGTTCCTTCTTAATCCTCTAGCCAGCCTCTAACAGAAGTTTTATAGAAGATGGGAAGATAATATTGTCTTCAGGACTTTCAAGGGCAGACAATATGTTTTCTTCTATACTTTTCCGTTCACAATACTGACTTAGTCAAGGCTAAAGTTCAGAATCCTCCTACCCAGAAAAAATCCTAATTGTTGTTAAAGGAGGCCCCAAATGACTATCCAGGGAGCAGCAGCATTTTGGAGCGAAGATGTCTATACATTAAGGAAATTGGAAAAAAATAGTATTACATCAAATTTACCTAGTCCAAAGAACAGATAAACCCAAATAACTAAGATACAAATTGCAAGTAGTACTCAACTTTTGTTAATGGTAGCTTGAAAACTAGTACAGAAGACAATAGATACTACAACCTATGCTG